AACAACAACAACAACAACAACAACAACAACAACAACAACAACAACAACAACAACAAAACGACGGGCCTGAAAACGCTACGACAAAAAGGCACAGTTAGAAATGATTCACTGCGTGGAGCTCCTCGTGTGTGCATACTCTGTGTCCCTCAATAGTTCTGGGGGTGCCTGTAGTCCGGGGTGCGTACCTGTAGTCCGGGAGGGGGTACCAGTAGTCCGGGGGAGGGGTATTTGTAGTCCAGGGAAGGGGTACCTGTAGTCTGGGGGTGGGGCCGCGCGGGGGGACCTGTAGTCCGGGGGGGCGCGCATGTTATTCGTCGAAGCACGCGCGGCTCCACGCGCACGGGTTTCGGCGCGCGGGTGTCTGCGCGCACGGGACTGCATGCGCATCGTTGCACGCGTCACGCGCACGCGCACGCGCACGCGCGCTGACACGCGCGAACACACGCTGGTACAAGTAGGGAGGGCATGCGCAAGTATGAGGAAGGGCGATGATTTGCCAGATCTTGCTTGATTGCGCTGTCTGCTTCGGTCACAGCCAAGCAAGCGCACGACGGATGAGAAACCCGAGCGCCGACTCAGCTGGCCAAATGTGGGCGATGGGTGGAAATGTGCAGAGACATGCTTGGTGGGCCGCTTTGGCTCCCAGGGGATAGCGAATTGACGGGGCCCTGTAGCTTCGGAGAGGATATGTAGCGCCTAACGGGGGTACCTGTAGTCCGGGGGGGGGGGGGACCTGTAGTCCGGGGAGGGGCACCTGTAGTCCGGGGGGGGTACTTGTAGTCGAGGGGGGGGTACTTGCTGTAGTCCGGAGGGGTGTACGGAAAGGGTACTTGTAGCACGGGGGGTACAGTAGTCCGGGGACCCAGAACTATTGAGGGACACAGAGTATCATACCTATACGACCACCCTGCGGGTGATTAGGAGGTTGTGGGGGGGTGGGGGGAGGAGGGTGGCTCATGACGACAACTGTGATGAACGTGGTGTTGATGGGCGATGATGGTGTGGATGACGTGGCGGATTTTGTTGTGTTCCTTCGCTTGGGCGACTTGTGTCGTGTGACCATGATGAGCAACCATGATGAGCAACCATGATGAGCAACCGGCGGGACAATGATGAGCAACCATGATGAGCGACCAAGATGAGCAACCATGATGAGCAACCGGCGGGCAACCGACGGGACAACGTGGGCCACCGCTTGACAAGGCCGGGGGGGGGAAACATTTGTGTTGGCGGACCCCTAGCGACAGCAGGGTGAATTCCTCTCGCTGGCCCACGCAGCTTCGCCTCGCTCGCACGCGCGGCACGAGCACGAACTCGAAACTCGATTTCCCGGTGGGGGGACTCCGTTACACTGCGACCTCACCCTCCAACCTCCGACTTCTGTCGCTTCTCGCTGCAGAGCTCTGTCTGTGAGCATCTGGGTGTGAGAGCGAGTCGGCGTGGACGACGGGCGCGACAACGACGACGGCGACAGCGACGACTTCAGTGATTTCAGTGGGCCCTCTCCAGGAGAGATGAGGGAAGCACAGGTGGAAGAGCGAGGGGGCACTGGACCACCAAAGGGGGGAAGACTGAGTGACTCTGAACATGAGTGATCTGTGTGTGAGTGAGTCTGAAAGTGAACGAGTCCGGGCATGGTTGAGTATGATTGCCAGTGAGTCTATGTATGAGAGGGTAAGAGTACGAGTGGGTCTCAGAATGCGCAAATTTGAGTAAGAGTAAGTCTGAGTGAGAGTTAGTCTGACTGTGGGTAAGTATGGGTGTGAGTGGGTACGAGTATGAAAATAACGGGTACGACTATGAGTCGGAATGGGTCTGAGTACGAGTGAATCTGGCCACGAGTGAATCTAAGGGTGGGTGACTCTGAGTGTGAGTGATTCTGATTGTGAGTAAGTCTGAATGTGAGTGCGTCTGGGTTTGAGTATGACGAGCACGAAACTGAGTCTGAGTGGTTCTGAGTGCGAGTGATTCGACTACGCGTGAGTCTGAGGGTGGGTGGGTCTAGGTGTGAGTCTGAGTGTGCGTAAGTCTGGATGTGATTGAGTCTGAATACGAGTATGATGAGTTCGAGTGTGAGTATGAGTGAGTCTGAGCACGAGCGAGTTTGAGCATCAGTGAGTCTGGGACATCCTCACAATGTGGGCCCCCTGGGGTGCGAAAAACCAGCGCCTCGCCCGAGCCATCTTCAGAATCTATTCTGAACGTAGACGAATTTGGTCAGCAGAACAGGAAAACCGCTCGAGACATCCTCGCAATATGTGCCCCCAGGGGTGCAACAACGCCTCGCCCGAAACACCCTCAGAATCTGCTCTGAAATCGGAGGATGTTGGGGAATTAAACAAGCAAGCCGCTAGAGACATCCCCGCTCGAGATACCCTCTGGCGCCACCCCCCCCCTCCATGGGTGTGCGAAAACCAGCGCCTCGCTCGAGACATCCTCAACATCTGATTCGAAATCGGAGGATGTTGCGCATGGAAACCAGCAAACCGCTCGAGACATCCCCGCCATGTTAGCGCGAACGGATGAGTGAGATACCCCCTCGGCGGCTCCCCCCTAGGGGTGCTGAAAGCCGCGCCTCGCTCGAGACATCCTCAGAATCTGCTCCACCATCATGAGCATCATCGTCATCAGCATCATCATCATCGTCATCATCAGCATCATCATAATCATCTACTGCTTCTTCATTATCACCATAACAAAACATATAGTAGCATGCCAAGCAGAACATGATACAACTCAATACAACATAACATTCCACAACATAACATACCATGAGATACCACGACATCATATTCACCAGCATCAAGATCGCCATCCTCATCATCAGCAGCAGCATCGTCATCAGCATCATCATCATCGGAATCATCGAAGTAGCTCTGAGTGGGGAGGAGGAGAGGCAGGAGGTGTGGGGTGTTCTTGTTCCCTCTCGGCGCGGTCGGAGTAATAGGTATTCACTGCGTGGAGCTCCCCATCTGTGCATCTGTTAGTATGGACCTGTCCGCCGTGAGAGTCTAGGCGCGATAGTTCTCGAATATCAGCGGGCTTGAGTATCGACGGTCTGGGAGTGATTCTAACTTTGAATGAGTTGGAGAGTGAATGAGTCTGACTAATACGAGCGCGTCTCTGCGCATGAGCCTGGGGACTCCTGGCTGAAACCTCCTGGGGCCTCCTGAGGCCTCTTGGAGCCTCCTCGGGCCTCTTGGAGTTTCCTGTGGCCTCCTGAGGCCTCCTGGGGCCTCGTGTGGCCTCCTGGGGTCTCCGGGAGCCTCCCGGAGCCTCCTGGGGCCTATTGGGAGGGATTCGTGTCCCAGGAGAGGCCAAATATACAGAAACAGACGTGCACAAAAGCCTTGCGGATTTGAGCCGCAGATGAAGGGCAATATACAGGAACACATGTAAAACACCAAGGACTCGTGCCCCAGGGGAGGCCTGATATGTAGGAACATACGTAAAACATTTAGGATTGAATACAGAGGAATAGGGCAATATATATATATAGAGAGAGAGAGAGGATAATCTATATATATATATATGTATATAAATATATAAGGATTCGTGCTCCAGGCGAGGTCCAATCTATAGGAGCATACGTAAAACACATGGGATTGGAGCTACCCCTGTGGCCTTCTGAGGCCTCCTGTTCCTGGGGCCTCCTGGCGCTTCCTGTGGCCTCCTGGGGCTTCATGTGGCCCCATGTGGCCTGCTGGAGCATCATGAGGCCTCCTGAGGTTTCCTGGAGCTTCCTCGGGCCTCCTGGAGCCTCTTCGGGCATTTTGTGGCCTCTTGAGCCGTCCCGTGGCCTCCTGGGGCCGCCTGTGGCCTCCTGGGGAGGATTTGTGCCCACGAGCGTGGCCACCAAAACAGGCAAACCGATCGAGGCGTTCTCAAAATCTGGCCCCCCTTGGGGGCGAAAATCCGCGCTTCGCCCGAGACATCCTCAAGATCTGCTCCGAAAGCGGAGGATGTTGCGCATGCAAACAGGCAAACCGTTCGAGATAGCCCCGCCATGTTAGCGCGAACGGAGGAGTGCAATACCCCCTAGCGGCTCCCCGTTGGGGGTGCTAAAACCCGCGCCTCGCTCGAGATATCCACAGAATTAGCCCCACCAGCACCAGCAGCAGCAGCAGCAGCAGCAGCAGCATCATCATCATCATCATCATCATCATCATCAACATCAACATCATCATCATCATCACCATCATCGCCATCACTATCACCGTCACCACCACCATCATCATCTTCATCACCACCACCACAATCAACACAGCATAGCATTAACAAATATAATACCAAATCATGACCTAACCTAGCATAACATAGCATCACACAGCGTAGCAGCCAATGCTATGCCATAACAGAACAGGACATATGGCAGCATAGCGCACCATACTATAACATGGCATAGCAAAGCAGATCATAACCTAACGTAACCTATCATAGCATGTCATACCATACATAACATATCATGGCATAGCATGGCATTGTCTGGCATATCATGACATAACATGAGGAGAAGGAGGAGGGAGGTATGGGAGGAAGTTGGCGCGGTCGGCGTAATAACAATAATATCATCCTTTGGATACGGGGAACAAAAACCATCCTTCGGATATAAGGAAAAAAACGCGACAGCAACGTACCGTGTCTTAGCGTTTCTAGCTTGTCAGGATCCCAAAGGGCAGAAGAACGCCCAGGGCGCTCTTGAGGATAACCTCAGCGATTCGGTGTCGATTGCTCTTGGATGCGCAACACGAGCGGCTTAAGCGCAGATGCGCCTTGCGCGACGCCCCCTAGCAGTGCTGGCACGGGCCAGGTCCCCCGCAGAGATCGCAAGGGTTCGGCGGCAGGGCGCCGCCGCCTGCGGGAAGGCGACCGGGCTCCCGCGTCCCGGTCTCCGGGCTCTCGCGGAGTTCGGGCAGTGCCACGGGGTGCCGTCGCCCTCCGCGGGGAGGAGGCCCCGCGGGACCACCCCCCCGCAGAACTTCAAAAGGCCAGGGCTCCGCAGCCATTTCGGCTCACGCAAGTCTGGCTCAGGGCTCGCAGGCTCGAGGCTCGCCTCCGCCGCAGGGCTCGTAGGCAGCCATGGCGCCGAAGGCGATCGCGGGGGAGAAGAAGGCGAGCAGCAAGAAGGCAACCAAACAGCCCGTGCGCCTCTACGCCAAGGGCGTAATCTTGGGCTACAAGAGGAGCAAGTCCAACGTGTACCCGAACACCACGCTCGTGAAGATCGACGGGGTCCGCACGAGGGAGGACACCACCTACTACTGCGGCAAGCGCATCGCCTACGTCTACAAGGCGAAGAAGGAGGTCAAGAACTCGAAGTACCGCGTGATGTGGGGCAAGGTCCGCCGCCCCCATGGCAACTCGGGCGTGTGCCGCGCCAAGTTCAAGAAGGCGATCCCACCCCGCGCCTTCGGGGCCCCCGTCCGCGTCATGATGTACCCCAGCAGCGTCTGAGGGGCCCAGTTCTCTCCCCGGCGCTCCTGGGCCTGCTGCGGCAGTGCTCCTCCCCGCCTTCGTGCCCGCGCTTTCCTGCAGCATCCCCCCTCTTCCCTCGTCCTCCTCCCGCATGCCAGCAGAGCGCCGTGGCCAGGAGCGGCAGCTGCGATGCCTGCGCCCCCGCGCCGCGTCGTCCGTGCCAGGTGCCCCTCCCCTCCAAAAGAGCAGAAGAGTGCAGAGCCAGCCAACACGGCGCCCAAGATCGTGCAGCAGACGCCCTGCTTGCTCCTCGAAGCTCGGGCTTCCAGGAGGAGCTGGCGACCACCCCCCCCCCCGGTCGTGGCGGCGACGCTCTGGGCATCGCCCGGGGTCTGGCGAAAGGGTGCCCTCGATCGAGCTCGGTGGCCGTGTCCTGCGCCTTTCCGTGGAGGCTTCCCGCGGGTTTTGGTGGGCGGATGGGCTCCAGGGTTCACAGGCCCGAGGGCACGGAGAAGGACCGCAGAAGCGTGCATCATGCTCCTGGGGATAGGCTAAGTCGGGCACGTCCCTCTACAGGAGGAGCATGCAAAAGTAGTCAAAAAATAGTCGGAGGACGATGCTTTGAATATTTCTGATCATGTCTGAATATGTTGGGGGCATGTTCTATTTTTCGACCAAAATCCCCTGTAGGGGGACATGCCCGACCTAAGGATAACAGAAACATGCATCATGCTCCTGGGGATAGGCGGAGTAGGCAGGGCACGGTAGGGGCCGCAGACAGAGAGGGATCTATACATATATATATATATAGAGAGAGAGAAAGTTTGTAGTCAGAGTAGTGAGGATTGAGCCGAGCGCAGACTCCTCCTCATCCCCCTCCTCCTCTTTGTCAGCCTCCTCCTCCTCCTCCTCCTCCTTGTCCTCTTCCTCCTCCTCCTCCTCCTCCTCCTCCTCCTCCTTGTCCTCCTCCTATCAGGGTGCCGAAAGCAGAGAACATGGAGCATGGAGCAGAGAGTGGAGAGGTCTAAGTAGAGCGCAGTGGGCAGAGAGTGGAGGGTCGAGTGTGGAGGGTAGAGAGGAAATTCAGAGGATAGCCGAGAGCCCAGTGAATGCCGATGTGATGCGTCAAATCTGCCAACCCACACACTCACGAAGTTTAATGCCTTGAGGCCATTAAAGGAGTGAGCGATGGGATCTCGTGCAAGACCTAAGATTGATCCCCAGCCCTTGCACAAGGCCGCACAAGCAGATGAGCTCACGCGCGCATCTTGCTAATGGCGTTGACGGAGATTGACGCCCACGCGCGAGCCGCGCGGTATTCGGTATGAGTTCATGGTGCGCTGATTTAGACGTACGAGCGGGGCGCGAGTGTCCCGCGCGTGCGGCCTCCTCAAATCCAGCAAGCTTCGTCCGAACACCTAGATTGATGCTGACAGGTGTTGAACAGTTGTTGTTTGAGCCTGTGGCTGTCGTATGAATTGTGCGTGCGCTCGCCCAGAATCCAGCTTACACCCCTATTGGAAAACCAGCGGCCCTGCTCCTATCTACCACGAATTGTGTTGTAACGTGTGCGTTTACGCATCCCGCATGGTATGATTTCATAGAGCTTGCCACGCAGCGCCCTTCAGTATCAACACATGCGCACCGCACGGTATAATTTGACAGGGATGGTGTTCGGGCCGGACCCATTTGCGGTTCGTCTGATACTGCTTGCATTGGAAAATGCGCGCGTATCATGTCATAAGTAAAGCACCCACAGCCGAATCCGGCCTGGTCCAGCATGGGGGGATGAGTAAGTATGGTGTATGGGCCTTCTTCCTGTTTTTTGCCAGGGCGGCCTCCAAGGCAGCTACCCAGCAAGTGGCACCACGACGAGCGCGGGCGATGCATCAGGCGATGCATCACGAAAGGGCGTGCACGACGGGAGCGGCGCAACGGCACCGCTCGACGCACACCAGTCGCTCAAGTGGCCGAAGCATCGGCACTTGGGAGGCCAGCCACAGCGCCAGCATGCGCACCTTCGATGAGGCGCTTCCCAGACGTGGTGTGTAGGCCTCTCCAAGTTCTGTCAGCACGATACCGGCCAATCCTGCCAGCCTCGCCAAGATCAGGAGCAGATGGGACTGGCGAGCAGCTTCACGCTGCCCAGCTGGACATGGGCATAGGCATCGCATCGCTTGCACAAGGGCATACCCGAATGCACGCTGCAAGACATGGCCGAGGCCATTCCTTGCCCCCGACTCGCCAGGCTGGGCGACGCCCGAGGCATCACGAGGGTGCGACGGCCGACGCAGGCGGGCCCGAACCACCTCCGACCTCTCCGCCAGCACCTCCGAGGAGGCGAGGCCCGCAGCTCGCCCCCCGGGGAGCTCGGGGCGCGGAGGACGGGGGGGCACCCCGAGCCCCCGGCAGGGCGCCCCCCTGCCCGCCTTCTGCCAAGCAGCAGGCGCGCCTCCCTCGCCGGCGGCGCGGCGCCCGCAGACGACGAGAGCGGGGCCCGCGGCCCCTCGCCGCGAGACGGTCGGCACGAGGATCGCGGCGGGGGAGGAGGAGGAGGAGGAGGAGGGGGCGGAGGGGGAGGAGGAGGAGGAGGAGGAGGGGAGGAGGAGGAGGAGGAGGAGGAGGAGGGAGGAGGAGGAGGAGGAGGAGGCGGAGGAGGCGGAGGAGGAGGAGGAGGAGGAGGAGGAGGTGGAGGGCTGGCTCGCGCCATCCTGGCTGCCGGCGCCGCCCCGGCGCTGGCCCTCGGCCGCGGGCGCGGCGAGCGCGGCAGCCGCGGCGGGGGCCGCGCCCGCGGCCCGGCTGGGTGCAGGCCTCGTCTTGTGGCTCTCAGGCCCCGTGCCTGGGGGCGCACCAGCTCGTTGGGCAGCAGCTGCTTCGGCCTTCTGCGCGCGCGCCCTGCGGGGGCACGAGGTGCGGTGCCAGTGCCCACCCACGAGCGTGACGAAGGCGTGCTCCGTGAGGCTGAGCTGGGTCCTGGGAGCTTCTCTGACCACCATACCCCAGGCTTACGTCGGGCGTGTCCCTCTACAGCAGGAATATCCCAGAATAGCCAGAATAGTGAAAAAATAGTCTGGGGACGGTTTTTTTGACAATTGTTGCACATTCGGGGTTATGTTTTTAGTACTTTTTGCTTCTGGCCCAAAATACCCCTGTAGGGGAACACGCCCGACGTGACCCTAGGCGCCGTCGACCCGCGCCGCGGCGGCAGGCGGGCCCGCGGCAGGCCACCCAGCGCACCACGCCGTCGACGCACAGCCTGGCCCGCGCCAGCCGCGTGCGGGTCGGCCGAGTCAGCCCGACGTCCTCGACGATGCCGCGGGCCACCGGGTCCCTCTCGGAGCTGCCACGGCGCCGCCTGCGCACGACGAGGCCGCCGGCGCAGGTGGCGACGTATGGTCGCCTTGCACCTTGATCTTCGGGTCCCTCCTCGATCCTCGACCCCGTCCTCGATCCCCGACCCTCGATCCCCTCCTCGACCCTCGACCCCCTCAGCCTTCGACCCTCGAGATCCTCGGCTCTCGAGGGCGCCTCCCGCCTCTCCCGAGCCGCCGAAGTCGCCCAGGGCCTGCCGGGCCTTGCGCCAGAGGTGCCCCCAGGCTGCATTGGCCAGGGTGGTGCGGGCCTCGCCGCGACGGCGCGGGGAAGAGGATGCGCTCCCCCAGCAGCTTGGCCACCGGGGCTGCCCTTCTGCCGCAGCAGGGGGCGGGTGCCCCATTGGCATGCCGAGGGCCTCGAGGGACGAGCACTCCAGGTGGCGATGCCAGAGGTCGCCACGCTGCCCAGGGCACGGCTCGCAGCAGTCTGTAGCGGCGCACCTCGGGCTTTCTGTTGAATACCCTTGCGCTGGTCCATTGGCCGTCGACGAAGCAGGACCCGACGTGCCCCCGCTGCTCGTTAGTGATGTTGGCCCATGTCCGCGTCGTCTTCGACGAGCCGCGTCCGTGGTCCACCCATCTCCTGACCTGGCCGAAGTCCACGCCAATGCTGAGCCACGGCGCCTGGTGCGCGACCATCTGCTTGGCCTGCCACGGGGTGCAGCTGCGGATGAGCAACTGCTTGGTGAGCCATGGGCAGCCTTCATCAACACAATACACATCACCAGCATCCGTGGTCCAGCTCCCGAGCGACGTAGCGGCCCACCCAACACGCTGCATGGACAAGAGAGCTGCCGAAACGGGGCATCGGTTCTGCGTCCACGTCGTGACGTTGGCGATGGCTGCCTCGAGAACCGTGGCGATCGCCTTCATGGGCAACCACTGCTCCCGTACAGCACGGTGGAGCATGCCGACGAGGGCGACGGTGGCCTTGAACACTGGGTCGAACTCTGGCTTTGCCACGGCCAGCACGGCAGTGCGGCTCTCACCCGCAGGCCGCAGCTCCACCGCTTTGACTGCGAGGGCCCTGGCCGTGTCAAGCTCGTCGTCCGCGAGCCCCGCGCAGCAGATGCCGTAGGCGAAGCCGGCCTCGAAGCTCTGCCTGAGAACCTCGGCTGACACTCTTCGGCACCTCGACGGGCCGAGGAGCCGGCCCGGGCGAGGAACGCGCCTGGCCGCTTGCTTGAGATGCGCCTAGCAGACGTGCCTGGATCCCCATCCTCCTCCTCCTCCTCCTCCTCCTCCTCCTCCTCCTCCTCCTCCTCCTCCTCCTCCTCCTCCTTCCTTCCTTCCCTTCCCTTCCCTTCCCTTCCCTTCCCTTCCCTTCCCTTCCCTTCCCTTCCCTTCCCTTCCCTTCCCTTCCCTTCCCTTCCGTCCTTCTTTCCTTCCTTCCCTCCTCGTCCTGCTCCTGTTCGCCGCCCCCTCCCCTCTCCTCGCCGCATCCGCCTGCCGAGGGCGCAGTCGACTCCCAGGTTGCGCGCGCTGCCCACACGGCGCGCCTCGCAAGCCGGCGCCGGCCGCTGCTCTAGCTCGCAGGCGAGCGGGGGGGAGTCGGCCAGGACCACCGGCTGCTTCGTAGCGCAGTGTGGATGTCGACCTCGCGCGGCTCCGCGACCGCGTTGGAGACGCTGGTGACACGCGCTGCCTGCCGTCGACGCGCTGGAATACCAGGTCGTCGACGACCTCTGACGGGACGATGCTCGGGGAGGCCTGCAGCGTGCGGTCGAGGGCCGAGAGGGGGATCAGCTTCATGAAGGTGGTGGCCCACATGTCGCCCGCCAGCACTGTCTGCCCCACCTCGATGAGGTCTGAGACTGCGCCGCTGAGCCCCAATGCCCGCGGCATGCGACACAACGAGATCTGGAGCTCGAGGGCCCACACTGGAGAGCCGTGCCGCACCGCGGCGTCGATGAGGCGCTGGTGCCTGACCTGCTCCAAGGCCTTCCAGAGGTCGAGGACGACCGCCGCCGAGCTCCAGTCAAGGTTGCGCCGCTCATCTCGTCTGGCGTTGAGCCACTCGCTCCGGGCCAGGATG